CCGATTCCTCGCCTTAACGACATGTTAGATATGATGATTGGGGCTGTACAGTTTTCTAAAATCGACCTAAAAAGTGGTTATCACCAAATCAGAATTAGCCCTAGGGACGAGTGGAAAACGACATTTAAAATCAAGGACGGGTTGTACGAATGGATGATAATGCCGTTTGGTCTTAGTAACGCCCCAAGCACCTTCATGCGAGTTATGACCCTAGTCCTTTGACCTTTCCTAGGAAAATTTATTGTCGTATACTTTGATGATATTTTGATCTATAGTAACTCGGTGGACCAACATTTAGATCATCTGAAACAAGTTTATGAGACTTTGAGGAAAGAACAGTTATATGCTAATCCCAAGAAATGTGTGTTCCTCACAGATAGTGTTACTTTTCTCGGGTTCATAATATCATCTCAAGAGATTTCAGCCGACCCTGAAAAGGTTAAAGCAATCAGTGAGTGGCCTGTACCAAAGAACATCAGAGACGTTCGGAGTTTTCATGGATTAGCCACTTTCTATCAGAGATTTATTAGGAATTTCAGCACAATAGTGGCCCCGATAACTGACTGCTTAAAAAAGGAGAATTTCATTGGACGTTAGCCACCACTAAAGCTTTCGAGGAAATTAAGAGAAAAATGGTTGAAGCCTCTGTTATGCATCTCCCCGGTTTTTCTAAAGTTTTTGAAGTACCTTGTGACGCATCAGGTATTGGTACAGGAGGAGTTTTATCACAAGAAGGACACCCTGTTGTATATTTTAGCGAGAAGTTAAATGATATTCGTCAACGATATTCTACCTACGACAAGGAATTCTATGTGACCATTCAGTCCCTTAGAGATTGGAGACACTACTTATTGCCACAAGAATTTGTGATATTCTCGGATCATGAAGCTTTGCGATACATTAATTCGCAGAAGAAACTCAATGTTGTTGGGTCGAGTTCTTACAAGAGTACACGTACACAATTAGACATAAAGTAGGATCTGAGAATAAAGCTGCGGACGCCCTAAGCCGAAGATTAATGATTACCCGAGAAATGAGAACTGAAGTGATCAGTTTTGAACGACTTAAAGAAGACTATAAGGACTGCCCTGACTTTAGTGATATCTATTCCCTTTTGACTTCCGGACGTGAGCGTACAATAGATGATTTCTTAGTAGAAGATGGGTACTTATTTAAGGCTCAGAAACTCTATATTCTCTAAACTTCCCTTCGTGAATACCTTGTCTGGGAGCTACATGCAGGAGGTTTAGCTGGTCACTTTGGTCAAACAAAGACTATTGCCGCATTAGAAAATCAATTAATTCTACTGGCCCAGCCTTAAGCGCGACGTTAGTAAACTATTGAGGAGATGTCATACCTGCCAGTTGGCCAAACAACGCAAGTAGAATACGAGACTCTACTCTCCACTCCCCGTACCCAATTGCCCTTGGCAGGATGTGAGTATGGATTTCGTCCTTGGGTTGCCCAAAACTGCTAGGAAGCGCGATTTTGTCTGTGTGGTCGTTGATCGGTTCTAAAAAATGGTCCATATCCTCCCATGTTCTAAAACGTTTGATGCCTCACGGATCGGTAAGCTTTATTTTGATGAAATAGTTAGACTTCATGGACTACCATAGACCATCGTGTCCGATAGAGACGTTAAGTTTACAAGTTACTTTTGGAAGACTCTATGACACAAGATGGGGACGAAACTTCAATTTTCTATAGCCTTCCACTCCCAGACCAATGGTCAAACCGAGGTTGTTAATACGAGCTTAGGAAACATTTTAAGGACGTTAGTAGGAGAAAATCTTAGGGATTGAGATTCTAAGCTTCCCATCGCGGAATTTGCTTATAACAACTCTGTCAATCGAACCACTGGCTAAGTTCTGTTGAGATTGTGTACGGATACCAACCCAAACATCCTATTGATCTAGTTCCCATGAGTCCTAAGAGTAGAACGTCAGAGTCTGCATATGCATTTGCATCTCATCTCCAGGAGTTACTTACTGAGATTAAAAAGAAAATTTAATAAAGTAACACCAATTATAAACTTATTGCTGATAAGAAAAGAAAGTTTAAAGAATTCAAAGTTGGAGACTTTGCGATGGTACGGATCCGCCCGGAGCGTTTTCTTCCTTTTTCCGTAAAGAAGATGCATGCAAGAAGCGCTGAACTTTTTAAGATAATTTCAAAGGTTAGCAGTAATGCTTATGTGCTGGACCTCCCAGGAAGTTTTAACATAAATCCAACCTTTAATATAGAAGATCTAGTAGCCTTCGAGGGTCGTGAATTTAACCCCAATAATCAACTTTATAATGAGCCTTGTGTGACCCCACCTGGTGAGATCCCTAGCCTCCCTCCACTCCCCAATTTACCCCATTAACCCAATGCGGAAAAGATCGAAGCAATCCTAGATGATGAGATTATTTCCACAAAGGAAGGAGGGAGCCAAAGGTACCTAGTTCATTGGAAAGGAACACCGGAAACAGAGGACACGTGGATTGATCGAGAGGAGCTATAGAGTTTGGACCCTGATCTCTTAGAGCTGTACGAGAGCTCTACAGACACTCACTCGACGGGGTTGAGATTTCTCCCACCTGAGGAGAATGATGAGGACATCGACAGACGTTTTCGACGAGTATATCAGCGCAGAAGACGCAGATTGATGGCCACGATTCACAGTCTTGATTTTGATGCTTAGTGCTATTTTGATATTGTGTTATTTGATATTACCATTTGTACCCTTATTTTTATTTGTCTTGAGTAGTAGCCCCAGAGGCATGCACGCCATTGGATTTTATTTTTCTTTAGGCATATATATTATGGCCTCTTCTATTGTATGAATTATTATTGGATGAATGAAATTTTCTATTAGTGATCTCTATGTGAGTTTGTGAAACTTTTCAAGATCTCTTTATGAGTTTGTGAAAATTTTCAAGATCTCTTTGTGAGTTCTTGAGAAGGTGGTACTTGTGGATCTCTTTGTGAGTTATGGTGGAGGAGATGCATGAGGTTTGGAGCTTCCTTGAAATTTTCCAAGTTTTTCCTGCATTTTTCTGGCCTTAGTTTTCCCCTCCCCAAAATCCTTTTGCCGCTGGCCTCCTTGGGCCGCCCAAGTCGCCGGCCACCACCACTCAAAGCCCCTTCCAAGCAACCGGCCTCCTTCCCCATTTTTCCCCTCTCCACACCTCTACCCGCGGCCCCCTCTTGGGATATTGAATTTAAAATTCAAATTTCCCAAGAGGCATTAATAACTTTCCTAAAATAAATCCTAGATTTTAGGCAACCGTCGTAAATGAATTTCAATTCCAATTTGAAATTCAAAAGTTGTCAATTGCTTACACTTAAATCAGGAAACTTTCCTTTTGTTTAAATCTGAAATTACTTCAGATTTTCTTCAAATCTCTTAATTAAACATGTGGACCCCACCTAATTAAAACCTATTCCCCTCCCTCTTCTCTTTTTTGGCTGGCCCCTCTATGAGCCCTCTCTCTCTCTCCCAAATTAACTCCTAATCCCCACTAAATCAGCCCCAAATCCCTCCCCATATGGCCGGCCACCCCTCCTCTATTATTTCTCTCTCCAATTGCCACCTAATCACCACTTAATACCTCTTTAATGCCTTTCCCTCTCAGATTTTAATTTCAAATTTCAAATCTGAATTTGAAATTAAATCTTTCCTTCATTCTTATTAAAAATCTGAAAATAAACTTCAGATTTATTCCTTCCACAAAATAGCCTCACCCTCTCCCCTCTCTCCCTCCCAAACCGTGGCCACGTCTCCTCCCAAGCCCACGGCCCAACCTTTCCCCTCTCCACCCCTCTTCTCTCTTTGGTCTTCCTTCTCGTGCTCCCTCATCCCCATGCTCATAGTGCATGGCCAATCCTGATGTCGACCACGGTTTCACATACAACGAGCAAGGGGAGATCGACATTTTCCTCTCCCCTTTCTACGAATCGGATTGGGAGTACGACGTCACCGTTGAACGCTACGTCAACCGGATCGTGTATTGCCTTGCCGGAACGATTGAGCTTCAACGACCAAGGACCCGTGGTCCCTCATTGGACGCTCTGTGCCGCCTCCATCTCCGGCTACCTTCCCAACAACGACGTTCCTCGGCTCGTCCTTCCTGTGGTCACTTCATTTCTAGTGTGGAAGATCTTCTTCCGTAGAGAGAGAGTAGATCCTCAAGGTGAACATCTTGTTATTAAATTTTGGATTTGTGTTACAAGCTTTTACATTACTTCGCCTTTGTATTTGATTGAGAGTGTCTTGGTTATTCTTCACGCATTTCATTGTCTAAGCAAGTGGAAGACCGCGAATTCTTGTAACTTACTTTGAATTGACGCATAACTTTATAAAGGTGAACTTCTACTAAATTCTCTTGTTAATCTTTTGTAACTCCAAGCATGTGTTACATCAAAAGAAGTCAAGACACGTTTGCACAAGGAAAACATTACTGCCAACAATCTACTAGAAATCTTAGAAAAATCTCAAATTCATCCACAATGAAAAACTAAAATCTAGCTGCATTACCAAGTCACACATGCATTGGGAACATGTCTTGACAGAAATTGTGTACTGACTTATTGGATTGGAGGATGAAAAACCGCTGAACCAAGGAGGAATCAAATGAGTGTTGAATTAACTTTCTTGCAGCCTAAGTAGTAAGAGAATCAAAATATTAGAGAACATGTTTCATTATCATCAGAAAATCATCATAGGTATATTAGATTAAAAATAAATTGAAAATTAATATTTTTGAAATAAAACAACTAAATTATCATCAATGTACACAAATTGCATATTCAATGAATATGGACTTTAAGATTTGCATCATTAACTATAATTCTTTCCTCGTATCTCACCCTATTGTGCAAGTGATGATTTTTTCTTTTGTTGATTGATCTCACGGAGCATTAGGCTAAATGTGCTGGAAGCTTAAAAACAGCAGGAAACTGTCTTTTTTGGGATGTTTCTTTCTTGTTTCCAGATGTCTTTGATCTACCCTTTGCAGACCTGAACTGTACAAATCACGAGTTCTTGAACTGAATGCAAGTGATGATCGTGGGATCAATGTTGTGCGGACAAAAATAAAGGATTTTGCTGCTGTTGCCGTGGGTTCTGGTAATCGCCAAGGGTGAGTATTATGTTTGCTCTTTTCTCAAGAACAACTCACTTCTTAATTTTAGCTCAAATTCTGTTACATATTTTTTTTCCAAGAATCATGTACTCACAACAGTTTTCTTGTGAATTCAAGTGGCTATGTTTGTCCACCTTATAAAATCATTATCTTAGATGAAGCAGATTCAATGACTGAAGATGCTCAGGTGTTCGGATTTTTTTTTTTCTGGTAGTTTAATTATTTCATTTGTATACTGCTTTTGCTCATGAACATTGGCTGGACAGAATGCTTTGAGACGTACTATGGAGACTTATTCAAAAGTCACAAGGTTTTTCTTCATTTGTAATTACATTAGCAGGTATTATGTTCTACATCATAATAGTACGAAAATTGCAATTTTTTTTTCAGCTTTGTTTGCTTCACATCATTTTGTTGATAGGATAATCGAACCACTAGCTTCAAGATGTGCAAAATTCAGATTCAAACCTTTAACCGAAGATGTCATGAGTAGTCGTATCATGCACATATGTAATGAGGAAGGCCTCAGTCTAGATTATGAGGTTCTAAATATCTTTATGTTATTTATCAAGAATTGTCTTTGAATCTTCATCACCACCAATTTTGACATTGTTTATGCATACACTCAGGCTCTTACAACATTGAGCTCCATTTGTGAAGGAGATCTTCGTCGTGCCATAACATATTTGCAGGTTTGTGTTTTTGTCAAGCAGATGCATGCAATATTGTTATAACATTTGCATGGCAGGAAGATAAAAATGCGGTTGTGTGCTGCTATTTTCTGTATATTCATGCACTTATACAATGATGCGTTGCAATGCGTTGTCACTTCTTTTTTTCCATGGTCATCTTCGTGTACTATTCGATCAAATATTTCTATTAAATGCTACTTCCAGAAATTATTAGACCATTCTCTAATGCTCAATTTTTCATTTGTCGTTTCAGAGTGCTGCTCGCTTGTATGGGTTTTCAATTTCATCCAAGGAATTAATCAGCGTTTCTGGGGTATTTTCATTACAACATCTGCTGTATAAGTTCTTTAGAAATTTTCCCGCTATATTACCTGTATTCCACAAACATGTTTTATGAAAAATGAAATTAATGTAAAATCCTTTAAGATAATGTGATTAAAGAGTATCCGACATTAACTTATCAATTTGTATGTCGAAATAATTTATTTCCTTTGGTTCATGTTTCAGTCTAATTTGCAAAAATGGTATAAGCTAATATTGTTTATGGAAAGCGTATTTGCTGCACACCATCTTATACGTGCTTGCAATTTGGTGTCTTAATCTATTAGGTGATACCTCAGGGTACTGTTCAGGCCCTATTTGCAGCTTGTAAGACTGGGGAGTTCGACACAGCAAACAAGGAAGTTAGTAATGTGATTTCAGAGGGATATCCAGTATCACAAATGCTATCTCGGGTGATCCGTCTCTTTATTACGCATGGTTTTTACAATTGAGTTGCTTATAGCCTTGCTGCTAACTTGATCTGTTTTACAATTGAGTTGCTTATAGCCTTGCTGCTAACTTGATCTTTGTCTGCTAGTTGTTTGAACTGATTGTTAGCTCAGATGACATATCTGATGTACAGAAGGCACGAATATGCAAAAGGCTGGCTGAAGCAGATAAGGTCTGTAAGCAATTTTTTGGTTTTTTCTCTTATTGTTTTGCCTCTCACAACATATGAATTTATTGGTATACCTCTGCAATTATTAATATTACTGGTATATCACTCTAATCAATTTATTCTTACAAACATGTGAAATTGATTAGTTAACGTTAACTTGAAGAGAATATTGTGTTATATTTTTATACAAAAACAATCATCAGCACATTTAAGTTTGAGTCTAGAGAATTCTTAAAGTCCCCAACTTGGGCTTGATCAACTGAAGCTTTTGGGCTAGAAATTATACTTACACCAAAACTTTATTCAGTACCATTAGGTCAGACATTACAGTTGGCCAGGCCACCAAATCCAAACCCATGGCTAGATAGGTGCAGGGTTAGCAAACTGATTACGAAAGTCAATTGGGTGATATATTAATAAGAAAATATAACTTAAGAGTCATATACTTATAAAACAAAAAATTAATGTATACTCATACATGTCTTTGTAGACAACTCGCAGTTATCTAACAAGTTCCCATCACGAAACTTGATCAAGGGCCACCTAACCCATGCCTAGATAAGTGTAGCGTTAGCTAACTGATTACAAAAGTTAATTGAGTTGTATATTAATAAGAAAATATAAATTAAGAGTGGTATACTTAAAAAAAGGCTCTGTAGACAACTGCAGTTTTCTAAAAAGTTTCTATCATGGAACTTGATCGAGGGCATCACGTGGTCAAAGTGGCACTCACTCAAAAGAAGCGTGATCCTGCAAAGTAGTAGTTGAAATTAGTCTATGTTCAAATAGCCATCCTCGTTTATGGAGAGCATAACGTACAAACTCACACTAAAAGAGCAGATTAAGGGTATTGTCATTTTCAACGAGCTCCTCCAAAGTACTCACCCAGAATAGCCCATGCCCTGAGGATCACTTGCTTCAACCAAACTTGCTCACCTATAACAACTGTTTGCAATCAAGGTCACCCACTTATTGCAGAAAATCATAATCAAGCTACAAGAAGTGTACATCTATGATGTCTATAATTATGACTCCACTAATTGAACTTGTCCTTTGCTCATGGCTACACCTTCTCAAGGGACTCACCCCTCACTCTCTAGGACTAGTCTTCCTTGGACATGCTTTTTATTCATAGGAAATTGTTTGCGCAAACTCTCTGTACAAGCCAGATCTTGAAAACTTTGCCAAAGACACACTCTCTCAAAAACTCGCCCAAAGTACTCACCTAAGAGAAAGAAGCCAGATCAAAAGCAAGAATCTATGTGCATATCATCTAGGTAGTCCATGTATCTTTGTCAATGTAATAGTCGCATCATATACTATTTTACTTACTTTTTATCATAGGTGTAGACTTTTCTATAACCCTCTTAACGCCCCATATCATATAAATAAAATGTTAGGAGGCATACTTCAAATTGATTGTTTGGATGCTATCGGTATGTTCTTTGATGTAATATTGCTTTTCATTGACTTTCTACACTACTTATTTCACTCACTCAGTTTTCTAGCGCTAACCTGCCAATAATTTGCTAGTATGGCCAGGTCTTATCTAAAATTTAATTTGGATCCAACACTCCTATGATGTAGTGGGCGTAGATAGGAGCCAAAGCGTCTGCAAAGACAACTGCTAATGTTGTTCAGAACTTCCTATGGTCGGATATTATCTATAAGTACTGGCCATCTCTTATCATAGTCACTGATAATGGGCCATATTTTTTCAACAAGAATATCAAGGACTTTTTCCAGTCACATGTCATTCACCTTAAGTTTGCCTTTGTACATCACCCTTAGACCATGGCAAGTTGAGGCAACGAATAGCAAATATTTAACCTATTAAGGAAGGTGGAAGGAGCAAAGTGAAACTATGTAAAAATACTACCTTTTTGTGGACCACACCCTCAATGATAGGTCAAATGTTTATCGCATTCTCCCATGAAGATGATGCCCTAATACCGGTCGAGTATGAGTTTCATAACAAGCGAGTGGTCACTGCTACCAACTTCAAAGATTGCTAAACTTGCTTAGTGGGAAGAGAGAAACCTCAGTTGATCTTCTAGAATAAAGCAACACCTAGGTCTCATTCAAGTAGGAGGAGGTGAAGAGATGGATGACCAAGAATTACAATAACATTGTCAAGGAGAAAGATTTTTACTTCAGCAACCTATTGCTGAAGAAAGTAAATGCAGATGCTCGCTAGTCACTGCTAGAAAATGTTACGCTGGCCCAAGAGGGGTTGGCTGTCCTTATTGAACCGGTCCCTAGTGGACCGGTTTTACACTTCAGCCACCGGCCCAAAGGAAGGGAGAGGGTATGGGTCGGCTGCTCCTTTAGGACCCACACCTTGATTAATAATTGCTTTGGAGGGAAATATTTGAATGAGGGGCTATTTAGGGATTTTGTATTTCTCCTTTGGCTTTAGTTAGTTGCTAATGCTAGAATTAGGGTTGCATCTTGAGTTTGAAATCAAATTTGAGATCTAGGAGTTGTTCCTTTGGGCTCTAAGCTTGGCTAGAGATTTGGAGAGTTGTTTTTCCTCTTGAATTGAAGAAATTTGTATCGTTTATTGTTTTCCTTATTCGTGATTTGAATAGAAGAAGTTTGCTTGTGTTTTTATCTCCAATTTCCTGAAAATTCTGCATCGTAGTGCTGATTTCTCTCTGAAATCAGCAGTTTTCTTGCTGTTTTTCACCAATTACTGTTAGGTTTGGTTGCGAATTCAAGTATTTCCCTTAGGGTTACTTGCGAATCCAAGTATTTCTTATCAAATTGGTATCAGAGCGTTGTCTTGAGACCATTGGTAGTAGAAATCATGAAATTTCAGCGGAGAGAATTCATCCGGAATAAGATCTTCTACTAAATCTTGGGAAGAGTTATGGCCGGGAAGAAGGTTGAGTTCTGGAAGGAGAAATTGAGCAATTAAAATTAGATTTGGAGAATTTTTTTTTCTGATTTTCAAAATCAAATTTCATCCTATAACGAAAGGTTGGAAGGGAAGTTCATCATGATGGAAGAGATGTTGAAGAAATTGCTAGAAGTGAAGACCAATCCGACAATATCGGAAGCAAGGGAACCCATCGGCGGCAATGGAAGAGGTGGAAACCCTAACATGTTTAGGAGAAGGGAAAATTTTGAAGTGGAGATCTTGGAGGGTGAAGATGGAATGCCTCCTCTTGAACTACCTTATAGGGAGGAGATGAGCACTAGTTTTCAAAGAAGGGCTGTTGATTTTGGAAGGGGAAGGGAGAAATTCTACCGCTGAGGTGTTGAATTTGAAAGGAGAAGAGAGGAATTTGATGAAGGGGTTGGGTATGATCGCTGGAGGGAAGATTGTCACAATTGGGGAGCACCTCCTCTTCATGGAATGGGAGGATATGGATGATTCAGGGGCAACGAGGGTGACCCGAAGGAGAGGAAGCTGAAGATGACCATTTTTGAGGGCGAGGATAGCCATGGTTGTATCTATAAGTTGGAATGATATTTCTCCATCAACGGGTTGATGGAGGAAGAGAAGATGATGTCGGTAGGACTATTTGAAGGGGAAGGCACTGGCATGGTACTAATGGCAGGACATGAGTCAACACATCAGGAGCTGGACGGAGTTCAAAGAGTGCTTACTAGAACCTTTTCGAATCTGTAGGGGAGAAGACTTCTATAAGCAATTCTTTGGCGTGACACAGGAGGGGACCGTAGTAGATTATCGTGGAAGGTTCGAGTACTTGGCCGACAAATAAGGCCGACTCTCTGAGATAATGCTGGAGGGGAACTTTATGAAAGGGTTAAACTGGAGATATGGGTAACGGTTAGGGTGATGAGCCCAAGAGACCTGGTGGAGGCCATGGAATTGGCCCAATTGGTGAAGGATCAGAAGCAACTGGAGAGATGGGCTAAGGGGAGAAACTTGGAGGGGGGGGGGGTGTCGTATAGGATGACCACCACCTTCTTAGCTCTAAAGGGGTCAATGCCAGGGAGTCTGAAGGAAGTGCCCAAAGAGAGAGAGCTGGAGGAGGGAGAAATGGAGGAAATTTCAAAAGATTGACTGAGAAGGAAATAAATGAAAAAAGGTCAAAAGGGTTGTGTTTTAGATGTGATGAGAAATACATTCCGGGGTAGGTATAAGGTTCAAACTCTTCAGGTTCTCACCATCTGTGATGACGAGGAAGTTGAAGAGGGAGGTGGGAATGGGCTAGAAATGGAGGAAGAGGAGAAGTTACATCTTGATGTGACAATAGTCTCCCTAAACTCAGTGGTGGAATTCACTCTGAATCATACTATGAAAATGAAGGGAGAGATAGCTGATAGAGAGGTGGTAGTGTTTGATAGATAGAGGGACAACCCACAATTTCATCTCCACCCAGATTGTGGATCTATTAGGGTTAAAATTAGTGGATACAGGTGGCTATGGGGTGATGATGAACTCGGGAAAGATGGAAATGGGTAGAGGAGTATGTAGGGGAGTGGTTTTGACCATTCAGGGGATCCAGGTGAGGGGGGACTTTCTTCCATTAGAATTGGGGAGTATTGATGTCATCCTGGGAATGAAATGATTGCAGATCTTGGGGTAGACCAAGTTAATTGGGGAGGACTATGGATGAAACTAGTGGTGGTAGGAAAGAGGATGGTGATTCACGGCAATGCAGGGCTGTCCCGAGCTGATATATGTCTCAAATCCATGATCAGAATCATATTGGAGGTGGGAGGTGAATATTTGGTTAATTGCAATGCTTGGAGAGGGTCAGGGTTATTACAACCCAACCTGACCAGGACAGGTTCTATCGCATTGAGTTGTGACAGGCAAATTCCAAGATCTAGTTTTGAAATTATTTCAAATTTTTTTGGCTAATATTCATTGAAATAAAATACAAATTACAGAGTTACTAAAACATCCAAATATTGAAATTAAATTCATCCATAAAATTTCTTTCATTTTATCAAAATAAATATTTACACTACAGTACATAGCTACATGCAAGAGCTACTAAACTGAAAATTTAACTAGTCATGAC